TGAATCGCAAAGGTGAAACAACATATTTTTTTTTCACTTTTACCTGATGTATTACAACATCCAACTGCCATGCACCTAGGCATTGTCAGTTTAACTAAAGCTCTTGTGAATTTCAATGGTGAAGTTCTCTCAAAATCTTTAATAATTGTTGCTGATTGCAGATGTGTCTAGTAGCTCCCACTAGGCTTACCGCACCGTGACGTCACTGCCGGAAGATGTCAGGAGTGAGGTGTTACTATATTTAGGCAAAAATGTCAGTTCCCTGACTCAGTGATGACAACAAAAATCAATGTTTTTATTTAATTACTGATTAATGGTATATTCATTTAATTCATTAAATTAATCACCTAAAATGTATTAGTTAACAGATAATGATACATTAATTATTCTTGCTGACCGAAATTTTCCTTTAAATCTTTCAACATGTCTATGTATATGATTAGAGTTCAAAGATGGTTATCAGTTTTTATTGAATTATTACTTTACATAGAGAAGTTTGACACTCGGTTTATCAGTCATTTTAGAGTCACAAGGAGGCCTGGCAATACCTTTGACACAAGTGGAGGAACTTGGCTATCCAGGAGGGGCTCAAAGTAGGACCACTGCTCTGCAGTCAGTCAGCTGATCAGGTATGTTCATCTGGATTAAGTCCCAGGGGACGACCCAGGATGCACTGGAAGGGTCACGTTTCCAGCTGGCCGTAGAACATCTTGGGATTCCCTGAGAGGACCTGGATGCGGTGTATAAAGCAGCTCATACCACCACAAGCATTGATGTGAATGAGTAAATTATCAAGGACTCCAAAACATTTTCTTTTTCATGCTACGTTACATTAGAGTGGAATGCTTGAAGAGGAAAAAACAGTGGTCACTGATTTAAGTGTAGAGGTTCTCCAGTAGAGGAATAGTTTGATTCTATAAACTAAGTAAAGAAATACTTCAAAACATTTAGGCGAAATGCATATGCTACTTTCTGTTTTATAATTTGGTCTGTAGCTTTTAGTAGCTCTTAGTTCTGCAAAAAAAAAAAAAAAGTTTTATTCAGTTATTGTCTTGTTTAGGTAGTTGGATTATTTGCACACAAGGGGGCAGTGTAGTGCAAGAATAAAAGGTGTGGTTACCTGGTTTTCAGGTAGAGAAAGAAAAAGTATGAAAAACAGCCACCTGTTTGCCATTGCTTTGCAATCACAGAAATTCTTCTAGTACTGTGTGTTATGCATCAAGAAAAAATGAGATTAATACATAATATGAAGTAATGTATCCTTCTAAACAGTAATCAGGTTCAAATTACAGTAATCTACATTATGCCTATTATTAAAATTATACATTTTTGCTGGTGCAAGAATTTGAATTGAATGTATGTAAATCTGGTTATTCTTTTAAGTTATAAATATATGCCTTGTGAAATGAATAAATAGTAGCAGAAAGTTAGTGGAATTGTAGGTAAAAAGAAATGGCAGGATATGTCACACTATGAAAATATATTCTATTGTATCTACAAGTATTGGAATTCTGCAAATATTTGGAAAATACTCTTCGATACTTATGTAGGCAAAACTTGGGGGAAAAAAACCTGTAGAGTATTTGTGTATCCATCCATCCATCCCTTTTCTGACACATGTAATCCCAAGTGGGTTTGCGAGGGGTGCTGGTGCCTATCTCCAGCTGTCTACGGGCAAGAGGCGGTTACACCCTGGACAGCTCGCCAGTTCATCACAGGGCAACATAGAGACAAACAGGACAAACAACCTAAGGAGAATTTAGAGAAGCACTGTGGGCTGTGGGAGGGAGCCGGAGTACCTGGAAATAACCCAGGCATGCTCAGGGAGAACATGCAAACTCCATGCATGAAAGACCCTGGGCCGGAAATCAAACCCACAATGTTCTTGCTGCAAGGCAGCAATGCTACGCACTGCATCACTGGGCAGCATTTGCGTATATAAGGACTAAACACACAGTTTACTTTCAAGAGTGTTTGCTCACCTGCCTTGACTTGCATAGGAACTTGAATGATATCCAAATCTTAATCCATAGGGTTCATTATGAAGTTTGTCCACCTGTTGCACCAATAAGAGCCTCAACTCCTTTGGGACGGCTGTCCACAGGTTTTTGTTGTGTGTTTATTAGAATATCTGACCATTCTTCCAAAAGTTCTTTTGAACAAGAAGTTCTTTCTCTCACATCAAATTCCTCTCTAAGGTGTTTTATTGGGTTGAGTGTCAGGAATCTGTGCAGGGCGGTCATCTGACTTAATGGGCCTTACTTTATGCACTGGTGCCTTGTCATGGTGACAGATGCAGGGGCCATCTCCAAAGTGTTTTTATAAAGTTGGGAGCATGCTGTCCAAAACCTCTTTTTTATTTTTACTTAAAGTTCATGTTAAATATCAAATTATTTAAGCCATCTGAATGCATTGGGTTCACTTTAGTTGGTAATAAGTTGGATGGTGAACTAGTGTAACATCTAGGTGCAGCTAGTTCTATATCAGGGTCATATATTTATTTAAGTTATAATAAATATCTACGGTTTTAAAAAATAAAGATAATCCTTTTTTTCTAGTTTCTAGCTTTGATTTGTAGCGCTCATTAACCATGTAAGACAAAACTGAAAGAATATAACCAGTATATTTCAGTAGTGCAATTCTCAGCATGCTAGTATGCCTAATTTTAGCTAACAGCATCATTTCGTGTATATAGTTAGTCTAACATCTAACCTCTGGAATACCAGAGACTGTTTAATAATGATAAACTGAAAGTTGTGAGTTGAACTTTTGTCTAATTTTTACATTAAGTGCAGCTTGGTTTGTAAATTTGTGTCTAAGCAGAGAAAACAGGATAGGTGGAGGGTTTACCAATGCCTTCTAATGAACATCTGGCAAAGAATTGGACATATTTAGTTAGACTAAAAACCTGTCTCATTGTCCACATGAGGGAGTTTTTTTTTTTTCCAATTAGATGAATCATGGCAGAGAAGAGCCAACTTTTCCCTCCCTAACTTTTTTGTCTACTTTTGATTCAGTCCTTTGTAACTTTATATCTAAGAGAGAAAAAGGTGACACATGGAAAACAGTAGGAACAAAGAGCTAAGATGGTGCAACCTTGTGTAATTAATGAAGGGTCTTTGAAGTCAAGCCTGAGATTAACATTGACCCGGCAGTTTTTTGTTTCTCGTTTTTTTTATTGTGTGCCAATGGACTGAGACTGAAAAAAAGGGCAAATTATGCAGTTTAAGATTCTGTCATTAAACCCAAATATTGTATTATTCTTGATAGAAATGTATAAATGTAATCACATACCACCAACAATTAGATACTATAAAACAGTATTTAAAAAAAACCTGAAGGTTAGACACAAACGTAACGCAAGAGGAGACAGGCTTTATTTTATAGCTGAATTTTAAAATTCTAGGATAAGAAATAAAGCCAAGCTCATCTTATAGTAGCATGATGAGCACATCCTGGCTTCATCCATTGTAGAAAGGCCAAGCCAGGCTACGCATGTGCAGCTATGTAATGCCAGGTGTACGTAATTAACATTCATTTTCAAAACTCTTAAATGAAAATGTCATAAGTTAAGGGGTTTTCTCAAACAAAAAACTAATAACGTACAAATCAACAGTGGAAACCAATATTATAACATGTGCAGATCTTAAAGTTTATATTTATTTTTACCTTTTGTCCAGATCAATATTGTCCCTGTGGTTTAGTGGATTAAGTCTTTGACTTCAAATTTGGAGAGTTGGAATTTAAACCCTCTGTACACAATGAAGGTCATCCAGCTTTAAAGAGACATTTTGTAAGATTTTACAGGAAAAATATCTTTAAAATTGCCTTTTTAATTTACTCTTAATGAGCAGACTAAAACCTCAGTAGTTCAATACTGATGCATCTATAGTCACCTATAGTCTATTTACCTTGATTTACTTCAGGTCAGATGATTCTATGCTGTTCGGGTTATTATGTGTAATTATGTGGAAATGAGCAATTAATAGAGATCTCGTCAAAGAAGAATTTCTATCATAGAGAGATAAATTGTAGATCAACTACACTGAAAGTTGGATCTTAAATTTTATTAGGAAGTCTGGAAACTACCCTTTGGGAATAAATCTACTGAATGAGGAAGGAGATTGTTCAGGCAAAGCAAAAATGCACCAAACATAGACAATTAAAAGTATATGAGAGGATTTTTGCGGATTTTTGAAAATACGCACCCTCTTGCACATGCACAACCCTATACCCGCTCCCGAGAGGGAATGACTACTAAACTCGTGCGAGAGCATGCACAAGCCCATTTCTCCTTGTGCACGCTTGGTTTACAACTTGCTGTTTGCATCGCTCAAACAAGCTTACTTTCCAAAAGATTTGCATTTTTTTACTATGCAAGACTCACCAGCGGTAAGTGAAAATGGGGAAGAGCAGGTAGGACTTACGTAAACTTATCACCAAAATGATTGACAATTAGGAGAACCACTCATTTTGAAGATCCACCCGGAAAAAGAACATCCTACACTATACCTCTAAGTGTTAAAATTTCTTTTCTTGTTTTTACACAAGCTTAAGTTATAATACTAGTATTTTACCCACTACACATTAATTCAGAGGTTAGGTTTATAGTAAACAACAGGTATTATCAATGGAGGAACTTTGTTCTACAAAGTTTACAACTACAATAAGGATTGACTTAGAAAGGTTTGCATTAGAAAAGATTTGAAAAAGTGTTTTTTTTTCTGCCCAAATTTGTTATTTATTTTATTTTTTACTTCAGCCTTAAAGTACTATAATTTTCAAAGACAGTTTATTGTAAATCGAAATGTTACTTTCAGTCAGTATATTTTTTTCAAGTACTTTTTAAGAAATGTATTGGATTTACTAAACACGTCAAAGTAGTGCTGCTCAATATTCTTCAAAGTTTAATTGTTAGCTACTCTATTGACCTTTGGTTACAGCAGAAAGATAATAACTGATTTTCTTGGTGAGATTTCTCTCCTTTCGCCCTCCCTAAGGAAGCCGTGACACATGTGGGAGGGTTCATTCCAGCCTGCACTTTCCACGGACGCACTCCTGCGAGAAACACCCAGTAAGTGATCCCCGATATGATTTGCTTAAAACGCTCAGGAGGAAAATGTATGCGAAGAGCTTAACCCGCTGTTTGATGGTCTCTGGTTGAAACACGGACGTTTAGCTGCTGTTCAGACCAGCTGCAAATGATAGTGGAGGGGAAATGACAGCGTCTGTTTGGGTCTGAACGAGGTTTCAGTCTGCATAAGGCTGCTTCCGCTGTGGCTGAAACTGTTTGTTTGTTTTTTCAATAAACGTGAGGCTTTGTCGTAATTTATCTGGCAAAGGAAACGTGATATACGTTTTACTTATAGCGCGTCAGTAACTAAGATATTACAGAGAAACACGCCTTAATATCAGGGGCGGAGCTAGATGGGGGGCAGGGGTGGCAATGACCACCCTTAACCAATCATTGGTCCCCCCTGTGGCCACGCCTATCATTTATTTCTCTCTAATACAGAGGGTGGCAGCAGTAATAGTATTAAGAGGAATGTTTAAACTTATTAAACATTTAAATGTTTCACAGATTCATAGTTTCTTGACAACTAAAACACTGTGGTTAATTATACATATCTAAATACTTACATTATAGTTGGTATGTACAGAATTCATGCTTTTTTAAGACCCTAATTTTGTGTTATATGGGGTAAAAAGAAAATTATGTGTCTCTGCAAGTAATCAAGGAGTTTTCAGTGAAATTATAAATAACTACTTTAATAATAACTTAAAAATAAATGTTATGTAGATATTAGTACAAGTAATATTAATGTTATGCAGAATTTTTTTTTTGATAAAAGTAGGTAAGTAATGACAATGGAAAAGATGTTTGCCCCAGATATTTTGTCCAATATACCTTTTATTTAGACAGCATAGATGTTTAAATATATGCATCAATTTGTAATCAAAAGGAAAATAGTAGGAACTTATAGTTTGTCTTTATTTAGAAAATGTGGATTTTGTCGTTGTTCCTGTTGGAAAACTGTAGATGGACTCTTAGGTTCTGGCACCTTTCCGCTTTCAGCCACCCCTCAGTTTACATTGGTTTTTGACTGGCCACCCCTTTTAAAAAATTTCTGGCTAAGCCTCTGATTAATATATTGGTGTGCAACAAGCATATTTTATAAAGGCATGAACAGTAACATCCAATTGGAAAATGTGTAGCTGCTTTTGCGACTATTGTCAGTTTTGAAACGTTTTTTACGCAGGGGCGGAGCTAGATGGAGGGGCATGGCCACCCTTAGCCTATCATTGGCCACCCCCTGTGCAACAGATCGGTAATAACTACAAATTAGAGCATAATTCCTATATATTTAAAAAAACTAACACTAACACCGTTTTTTTAAAAGATTGGATGCAAACTATTGGAACTTCAACAGACCAGGAAGCAGATTTCTCATCTCCATCAGAAACCGCACATATGCTGGATGCTGACGGGGATTTTTTTAAATATGTCATATTAAATTAAGCGTTCATTTATGCATATTGTGTTCCTACAAATTTAATGATAATATTGCGCATTCTCTCCTCGAGCTCCGAGGATAAGTCGGAGGACAGTAATGCGGGAGGAACAGCGGAGGCTGGAGGCTTTGCTTTGCACAGGAGGTCTGGAGCGCTGCGGGTCGGAGCAGTGAATCTGGGATTTATAAATGTTTTAAATCAGGTTGGGTCCAGGGTAGCCAGCAGGTGGGTCCGGATCCAGACTCAGGTCCGTTAATCCATGACCTCTGTTTTAGAGTCTATACTCCACTTAACGATGAATAGGCTAATAAATTATTTCACGATTATTTTAAAAATCGATTAATAGTGGTTCATTGTTTCAGCCCTAAGTCAAGCCCATGTTGAAAGTATCATGCTGTGTTTTTTGTAGTGAGGACAGGGAACCTTATTGAAACTGACAGAAAGATGGATTTAGCTAAGTACAAGTATCTAAGCACCAGAAGTCTTGACACTGGAACAGGAGTTAATCTTAAGACTAAACCTGCTATCTGTTGAGTTAATTACCTTCAAAACATATGACCCTGTTAAAGTACAGACCTGAACCAAAGAAAAAAACTGGTAAAGTCTGAGTTTAACTGCTTTACTCCCTTTTGTCTAGACGGGTATGATGGCATCTCCACTGAAGAGTCTGGTTCATGATGATGATAGATACCAGAAATCCTTCCAACTTTTTCTGGAGCGCTCTTCTGAACACCAATGCATGCGAGACTTTATCCACAATAAACTCCCAGACATTTTGTCCAGGTAATGTACTAGATGTCATAGTCAGAAGCTATATCTAAAAATTTGCTGCAGCATTGTAGTGTCTCAAGTATAGTATACAAACAGTATGAAGCATTTTCTAGATTTGACATAACTAAGAGGTTATTTAGATTTTTTTATGACATATTTGAGTAATTAAATATGTAAAATTGCAAAATTTGACCACAGAAAGATATTTCATAAAATTTAAAATGTCTGCTCTAGCCCTGTTATATTTTGTGATTGAGTAAAGAGAGTAAAAAACTTGGATAACATTACATTTTAACTAAATGCGCGTTGTTGCTCTTTTATACTATGCTTTTATAAATGTTGAGGATAATGCTTTACAAAGTTGGAATTATTGGTAAGATAAGTACAGTACAAATAATCCCACTGCCCTTTCTTCTTTCTTGCCCTACCTGCTCTATTGTTTTCTATATACTGTAGAAGATACATGTTTTTCATTTATATTCTTTTTAAAAATGTATATTAGCAATCTCTCATTCTTATACTAGATATTGATATGTTGTTGATGTTGACGTTGTGGATATTTTAAATTTAGAAAAAATAGCAACACATTTACTTTGTGAAGAAAGTCTAAAGGTCTTGGAATTATTATTTTTTTTCAATGAGGAATTCTCTTAATTATAAAAACACAAATTATCTAACACAATTGTAGATCATTAAAAAAAGCTATACATTTCCTCTGCTACGTTATTTCTTAGATCAATTGTTCATAAGGGTTTTCACATTGTTTTTGCCTGCAAACTAGAGATTTGTTTTTATAGTTTTATACAAATGGTGCCAGAAATGGAATACATCCGTTTTTGCTTTAAAGGAGAGCAACTACAGCATCCATTTCTCTTGGCTTTTAAGAATATAGCCTGCAGAGGAAATTGTTCTTAATACCTAACCTACTCAGTAATCTATAAGTAGGTTATTAATTCCACTAATTCCACACCACAGGTTATGTTTGAAAATTAATGCAGAAAATGTAAAAATATCTTCTTGCACTTAGTCTCGTTAAAGAAATGGTTGAAACTGCTGTAATTTAATTGCCTAACAACGCATATATTTTGTACTTGTCAGTTTGCTACATGAGAAACCAAAGAGCTAATTTAATGAACACATTGGTCATAAAGTTAGATAAACATTCAAAGTCAGCCGTTGTGAGGTATCTCATTTTTTATCACTAAAAATAGGACTGTCTTTATGACTGGTCTTAAATGCAAAGTCAGTTTCCCAAATTAACCATGTTTAGCTGACAAAGTAAAAGCTGTAGGCCAGTCAATTAACCAATCGGTTAGTATGTGTATGGATGCAAATTCCAAAATCTAAGCACTTTAAAAGAGCTCTGCTGTCACAGGCTGTGGGAGGTGACTGACATGCTGCAGAGAATCAAAACCAAATTCGGCTTCTTTTGACGTTTTCATGAGCAGATCAGCAAGGAAGCCAGTTGGATGTGATTTGCAAGTTAATTAAAAGGTGTAATAGAGTTAACAAAATGTTTTATTTTGATTGACATAACGTGTCTCTGGAACATTCAAAGCCTAAAGTTCTCGCAGAAGCTTCAGTCATTAGATCAGAGCATCTCACATTCCCGGGTGTCAGGCAGAATTGTCAGTTACAGGCCTAAAAAGATGTAACCCACATTTGGCAGGTTGGAAGCTGTGAATTTCAAGGCGTTGCTGTTCCAAAGATTTTTTTTTAATTCCTGCTCTTTCTGCTCTCCTGGCAGCATTGGAGATGGAAAGTCCCATCTTAATATCATTGGAGTTGGAAGCGGAGCCGGTAAGAACACAAACTATAGGATGCTGACACTGCTGAACTTAGCTTATGTGCACTGTGACATAGTAAATAGCTGAATGACCTCTTCAGCAGACAGCTAAGGTGAAGGAACGTTGGTAAATCAGTTGCCTGTTACTGTTCCGATTGGCTAGTTTCTTATTTATGGCTGCTGCGATAAAAAGAAAAAGACAGTGAGGAGGTTTTTGTTGCCATCTGACCAGCTTTCAGATAAATCTTTACTATTACTCTGACAAATGACCCCAACATCATATAGCTTTACAGCACAAGGCTTTAGAACAATACAGTTATTTCTTTTCCTTTCCAAACAGAGTACATGCCCTCAGAGCACTGTTACCCTTTACTTACGTCAGAGCCAATCCTTTTGATTTACCTGAGCTGTCATTACTGTATAATAATGGATTCACTAATGGACTATAAAACCCATTAGAATGACTTCAAACTTCCCTGCAGGGTATTATTTAACATAATCAAAACAAATCACTGCATCTCCACATAAGCTTCATGGCTTAAATGTATTTCCCTCTGCAGAGTAAGTTGTCACCTTTAATAAGAACGAGAATAAAATCTCTTCCCTTTGTCCAAATCATACCGTCAGAGATATAATCTCCCTGCACTTGTTTTTAGGCATTGTGGATTTTTCTGAGGTCACCTCACTGGAAATGTAAAATTGACAGCATCGCTGAAATAGACATTAAATAAGTTTTATATAAAGGGATAACTTTGGAAAAATCATAATGCTACATTTGACTTCCTTGAGAACGCAGAATTTGGAATAAAAAAGTCATGTCACACACAATGTAAATTAATTCTAATTGTTTCAACCTCATGCAGGGTTGAAACCCTGGCCACAGGGCCTTTGCAGGTTGTCCCCTTCATGTGAACCGCTCCATAAAAACTTGATGTTTGTTTGTTTGTTCTTTACATTTGGCATTTAAGTTTAGCATAAATCCATATTAGTGGCATCAGAGGTGAAGGCCAACAAGTAGTCCAAGAGGGACTGCAACTAAAACTTAGACTTAGACTTAGACAGCACTTTATTGATCCCTTGGGATCACTCCCTCCGGAAATTAAGGAAAACATATTAGTTGAAATTAATATTAAAGCTACAGTGTGTAATTTTCAGCGACATCATGACTGCAAACCGCAGCAACATGAACATCTCCCCCCCACCGCTTCTCCCCCCCAACAGTACGGCGAGCGTTACGGGACAAAATGTCTTCCACGACGTCCGCATCACCTACCTTCTCAAGTGATGAGGTTTGTTTACATAGATAATTTTACAGATAGTATTTCATTAGTCTGTGTAGGGTATAGATTTCATGTAGACTTTAGATAATAAATATACCCGTTATTTTTTCTACGTCGTTGTGACGTTTTGGTGAGCTGCTTTGCATGGTGATATAAACAAATGAAGTAATTGTAGTCATTAGTTTAACAGCGAGATTGTGTTCGCTGGAAGAATATATATTCCCCGTTTACAGAGTCCAAGTCTTGTTTGTGGCACGGGGGTTACAAGGCGAGGAAGAGGAAGAGGGCGAGGGCAGGGAGGCCGTGGTGGGCGTGCAGCTAGGGCCAGGCGAGGGAGGGGTGCCAGCGGGGTGAGAGCAGAGGAGGAAAGGCTTGAAGATCTCCAAAGGAGCCGGAGAGAAGTAACCGAGGTATATATCCAGAAAATTATTTTACAGAAAATAACAGAATCATTACCTGTGAAACGTCAGGGACGTTGCTGAATAAGTATACTGGAGAGTAACAGCATCATCACGCAGCATGTTATTGTTTTAGACAGGTCTGAGCATCCTGTACTCCAAAAACTGCAGTGATATTAGACAATTGTGTGTGTAGGATTAATTACCTGTCCAAGAGAAAACTGGCAACTTGAGCGTCACTTTGAAAACCTTTTTCCTCCATCAGTGACTTCCATTGTGTAAATGCCGTGCCAATGTTGATCCGTGTTTTTTGTCGTTTCTTGTCACGCTTGCGTTTATTCTCGTCGTGTTTCCGCTTCTTAGATGACGGGGGTTCGGTGTCCGCCGCTTTTCGTTGTGATACAGAGTAGGCATGATCCTCCATTCGTCTGATGTTTGGCCACACAGTGCCAAACAGTTTGCAAAGTCACTCACGCCTGCCGCCTTGTTCACCTTTCTTGTTACTGAAGCGGAGTATACCTGCTTCTTCTTCTTCTTTGGTTTCAGGCAGACTAAACGCTTCTCAGGCATAATACTGCCATCTACTGTTCAGTACCGTCTCAGTTAATCTCTCTCAACTTGCCGTAGTTATTTTCGAGCATAATGGGAGATCTCGCAATCGCTAGTTTGTTGCCTCTGCGCTTGCCGTAGCGCAAAGATGTCAGCCTCCATGGCTGCGAGACCCGCTCCTATGTAATTATAAATAACGAATTCTAAGGCAACGCAAATATTATGGTTAAAAGGCTGAGCTCATAGGTGATGATAAATAACATAGTTATGTATAATATATTACATTTCTGACTTTATATGCCTGTTATTATTACACACTGTAGCTTTAAATATATAAATGTGTGTTTTAAATGAATTAAAGGTATTCATTTTGAATGTTTTCATATTTTGTATCCTATGTGTCTGCCTGCTACTTGTGTTTAGAAAAGTCAGCACAAATGAACATGAGAAGCAGCAGTGTTTGGTGAACTGTTAGGCAGAGTTGCTTTATTTCAGAAAACATTGTATTTAAAGACAGAACTAGAAATAAACCGCAAGATGTGCAGGACTCAATACTTGGTTCATTAAACTCTTAGCTTCACTTATACAGAATGTAAAAGCAATTTATTTATCACACAGTTCTCACAAAAAGTTTGGAATTTTCAGCTTTTTGGAAAAACTTCTGTAAAAGGTTTATATGCAAGTAATATATATCCATCTATACTGATCTACACCATCTCAGTAGAAAGGCAATTCAAAGTGCTACACATGAAAATAAAAAATAAAGCATATTAGAAAGATTGCAGTCAAAAGATTTATAATTATAATAAGATGATGATTAAAAAATAACGATAAAATGATTGATGAGAAAATGAAAAGCTTGACTGCGAACTGAACATGTTTAGATGGCAGAGTCAAAGGCAGCCCTAAATATGTTTTAAATCTTGTTTTAAAGCAACTTTGGGTTTCAGAAATGTTGCTGCTTTCTAAAGGTTTGTTAAAACTAAAAGCCACTTCTCCATGTTTGGTTCTGAATATGCAGAGTAGATTTGAGCCAGAAGACCTCAAAGGTCTGGGTGGAATAATATCGACATTTTGCAGTGGCCCAGCCACAGTTCAGACATGAATCTAATAGATAATCTGTGATAAAGCTAAGGATTAATGAATGAATGAATGAATAGGTTATTGACAACAAGTTCTCCATTCTCCGAGTTTTGTGGCCTAACATCAAAGATATATTAGGAAAATACTACTGCTGGAAACATTGTTTTTTTTTCTTTCTTTTATTATAAAGAGTAAAGATACATTTTATTTCTTATTAAAATGTATACAAAAGCAGATCTTTTATTTTTTTCAAAATGGATATGTTGGTTATATAAAGATTTTACGTGAATGACTATTTTGGGCTGAATCTCGGTGTTTCACTTCCATAAATAGTTTCAAACTTTTAGAGGTAAAATTTAAGCTACACCCACTAAATTGTTTAAAAAAAATTTTAACTTACATACATAAGCCGCACGGTGCTATAAGCCGTTGATATCTACTGAACTCCCTCCCACCAAACCTGTAGGGGGAACTCTTTATATAGCCCCAGGAGTAAGGATGAGAATGGTAGCTCCTTAGCTGGTTGGCTGGCAGCAGTAAGAGCTTCTACTGAAAGATGGGGCTTCTTCAGATCTTTATTTCAACTCTGTAGGAGTTGGGTCCAGTCTCTTCATTGGTTCGGCAGCTTTAATACGGCAAATTAAATCTGAAAATGTGTAAATTTTGTAAATTTGTTCTTCATCGTGCCTACTGCTTGCATGTGCTTGTGCTAAATGAAAATTAACCCCTTATTCTTTAATTTCCAACTTTGACTTCCTGCTTTGGCGGTAACTGCAAAGAAAAGCAGCACCTTCTAATAAGCCACATGCTTCAAAGTTTGGGGAAAAAGTAGCGGCTTATAGTCTGGAAAATATGGTACTTTTGCAGCCGTGAAAACCATACAAGAAATTCAACCCAGTGCTACTCTTGACCTCTGACTATGTAAATACAATTTATTTAGGCATTATACAGAACAAGTGTAAACGTGTATCCTGTCTTCGTAGGTACCGCACCAATTTGGGCCTTTAGGATATATCGTCAAAGCAGGTTTGACTGATGTCCAGGGTACCGCATCACTGAACTTCAGATTAGATTAAGTCAATTTTTGTTCAGAAGTTGCCAATTTGTTTTTCTCTGTTATCTCTTTATGTAATAAATATTTTAGTACTTAACACAAACACCATTTTATAAATATTTAACCAATGGCAAACTTAATATTTAAAATCTCTTTAATTTCGAAATCAATGGTTATTTGCACTAAAAGCTGGACAAGTAAAAAAAGCCATGCTATCTAATGCAAGTACTTCAGAAAGTAAATTAAGTTTTTCTATATATTTCTAGAACATCTTTCCCAGACAACAGAACATTACAAGGTGCTTTACAAAGTTAATTGTAAAATACAATAAAGTACAAGACTGGTAAAAATGCAATTAAATGAAATCTAAAACAATATAGTAATGGAGAAAATTTGAGATAAAATCACGATGTTGGTCATAAAACATCATCTCACTACTGATGTTAAAATGTTTGAAGGGACAGATGAGTTTTAAGTTTGGCCATAAGCAGACTGGTCCAGTGACCTCAGCCTCCTGACCTCAGTATATAACAGTAATGCTAAAAATAACTGGAATATAGAATTTACATGCACATATGTAAATTAACCCAAAGCTAAATCCTGTTCTTTTATTAAATCCAATTATACAGACATTTGTCACAGAGGCAAGGCTACTGCTATTTTTATTAAACCATAGAACACTACTGAAAAAAAAAATCTAATGTTTTATTTCTATAATACAGCTCTGTATGGACACTGAAGTATTTCTTTTTTTCTTATGCTTAAAGATTTTTGTTTTTCCTATAGGTGACATAGACCTAGAGATGCTCACTGAGCTACATAAGAGACATCCTGAGGTGACAGTGGATAATGAGGTGGTTGAGCCTAGCAGCCAACAGCTACATAACTACAAAGGTACAGTCTTTATTGGTTCATCTTCTTCTCATACTGTACAAAATACATGTCTCTGTTCACATGCAATCCACAAGATTGTGCAATATTTAATTTTCTGGAATTATTAAGGTATATTATTTGTTGCATTTCTAACCCTGTATCTATATGTTGAAGCTGCTGTGCTTAAAACAAAACAAAAAAAAAAGCCCAACTGAAGCAGTGATGGGCAGGTATTTTCTTTTAATGCAATGACTCTTCAAACAGCTGATTTTCTAGTTTTGAACAAGAACTCTAGGCACAAAAAGAAAACTTATTTAACTGCTAATTAAAAAGACTTTTCACAGTATAAATTGTATCACATTAAATTATTTTTGACTCTGAAACCTAACTTTTCCTGGATTTAATATTTTGTTATGGTCCCCATGGTAAAGTGGTTTAGGTTTTGGGTTAAAATCCTGGTTACGTCCAGAAATGCATCTGGTGTGGTAGGCATAGAAATGCTTAAAGACTTTGCTAAGTCTTTGGGAAAGTGGTAATGATCCGTGAATAAGCAGCAGCTGAAAATACACAAACAAAACTCCACTTAATATGCTAATCAGGCAGTACAGACTACAAGATACAGGCAGTACAAGATACTGCTATTTGGAACTGATTGTTTAATACATTGAATTTTAAAGGGCAAGGCTTTTGAAAAGATGTGTACTAAATGAATAATAAACTGATTATATTTCATCTATATGTCTTACCATAAAGTGTGATTTAGATGTGTCCAATACAATAGAATATATGAGCCTGGAATTTAAATTGGCATATTTTCACATTTTAAATTTAACATATATCACCTTTTTTTTCTACCACTAGTTCTAAAGTGGTGTGATGAAGCAGATATGAGTGCTATTCTGAAATATGAGGTGAAAATCATATAACAGTTTTAATTTTACACAACTCCAAAAGCCAGGGTACCAAGTAGCAGAAATATTATTGAAGCCACATCTTTTCAGTGCTATATTAATAAAGCCTTAATAACTTATATAGTCAATAAACATGATGATTAACTGACAACAAATGAGACAAAAAATGTTCAAGCAAATAAATACCTTTCTCAATCGAGTTTTGTTTATTTCAATTAGTTGTTTTATAAAAATAAAAAAAATAAGCTAAAATATTTTTTTTGTGGTTAATAAAACATTAATATTTTGCAATTGCAGTGTGTTTCATTGTATTAGAAATAGTCAGTTTGTAATATTTAAATTATTCTTCAATATTTAGTCGGCATTAAGTAAGTCAAGCAAGTGTGTCTAAGAAAAATGTAAATGATGTGCATGGGTTCGGCATTCTTAAGCTAATACATGGTTGAAATACTTTTTTTTTAATGTATTTATAGCATTCAGTGATGTTCAAATAAACTCTTTTATCCCTTATCAGGACAACTTCAAAAGGTTCAGCTTGCCTTGGTTTTGCATATTTAAATGCTTTACTTTTAGGCATGGTTTTCATTGAGGTTAAAGCAAAGTACAACTGATATAAGTTATAAGTCAGGGCAAGCTAACAAAAATGTTGGGCGTTACAAAAAAAATGTGAGACCAATATCAACAAGTAAAGATTGGTATTACAAATAAACTGCTTAAATAGAAACTGGTGACCAAGGCTCCAAGAGGCCTGATCCAACACTCAATATAGAATGTCTGACAAGTGTATGCATTAAGAACTAGGGAATGATTTATCTTATTCTCTTTTCTGTAAAAAAGAAAATACGAGATGCATATACTTAGCTATATATATATATATATATATATATATATATATATATATATATATATATATATATATATATATATATATATATTCTCTATAATAGGCCATTTTCCCCAAATAAAAAACAAAAAAAACATTTGTTTATTATCTGTTTTAAGTTTTAGTGTCACAGAAACCTGAGTTAAATTACATCAAGTTTACCTGGAACAAGATGACAGCGTCAGAATTTGAGGAGCACTGGAAGCTGAAAAAGATGACAAAGAAGGCAGACTTCATTCACATGATACAGGTTGGTGCTGAAGTATTGCCAGCCCTAGTGCTGTATTTTTGACACATCTAGGTCATATTCATTAGGTGGCACTCGACAGCAATTAATCCCATTAGTGCATCTGTCTAGCATAGCAATATAATTAGGTGCTCCATGAATGCAACTACCAGCTCATTAAATGTAGTGAAATCGACAGATGCTGTACTATGTGAAGGACCCCGGTGCTACCATCAGCTTCTTCCAGGGTCTCCTTGATAAGAATGGGAAGCTTCTTATTATTCTTGTGTCTGGTAAGTTGATTGACATCAATTAAAATCAGCAATTGTTCTGTCTCACTAATGCGTTGGATATAGTGGCTTTTAAAATGTTTCCGTCTTAAAACTCAGATTTTAGATCATGAAGTAATATTTAGTAACTATAAGGAGAATCATACATGATTTAAAAACTTCTTAGGAATAATCTAATTTGTGTTTGAATTTGTATTTAGTCCGTTTGATCTGCTTCTAATAGTCATCTATTCAACAGACAGCATTCACATGTTTCATTTTACCCTTGATAGTACAGCTGGTACTGTATGTGGAAATTAGTGGAGTATAGCACAACTGCAAACCTTACTGTCCAACTAAAATGATGGCTCTGCAAGGCGAACATCAAAGAATGGGTAAAGAGGACAGAGGAAACTATGGAAGACTTGGGTGTTAGAATCTGTTAATACAGATATTATTCTTGATGGTGATTAAGGTTTTGCAAGAAGGATTTTGTTGTTTAGATCAAGCCATAAGAAAGCTTATTTTTGCAACTTTTCTGTGTAGAGGACACAGCAAACAAGAAGAAGATTTTCTCCTGTCATTAGACAAAACAGAAGTAAAGGAGTTGTAGATACTCGCTGTGGTTTTTATAATCTGGAAACTCTTTTTTTCTCAACCATTCAAGTGCAATACACTACATAACTGTTAATTTAAGTTATTGTTTTTGCTATAGCCCTCTGTATTTATTTGTCTATCCTCATCCCCCAATACATCTTCCTACATCTTATTTAATTGATTTTATTTTTCTATTGTATATACTGTGCCTAAACATCCTCTATTTTCTTGTATGTGCAATTTTTCCTGCTACTGGAAATACAATTTCCCAAAGGGAGTAATCCCAAGGGATTAATAAAGTCAAGTCTAAGTCTAAGTCTAATTATACTCACGCAAGCTGTATTTCTAAAAAGTCTTGGTTTTGTGAGGTTGAAAACAAATATGCACTATGAGTTTAAGATGTTTTCTTTTTTGTGGTTTCATTTTCACTATATATTATTTTACTTTCTCCTTCTCAATTATGCGATGCTTTGTTTTGGTCCAGAACATACAATTCCATTAAAATATACAGACTTTTGTGGTTGTAATGTGACAACATGACAACTTTCAAGCAGTGCATATTTTTGTAAGACACTAAGCGGTTTAGACATCAGTCTGTAAACATTTGGAATCATTTGTTATCATGCTGACACAATAGTACTGTTTCTGCTCCATCTGTTCAAGGGGAAAGTGGCTGGGGAAAGCTGTGGCGGAAATACCGGAATGAGCTCTGCAACACTGAAATAAGTCAATGTGTGACCACGGGAGACATCAAAACCCTCCTGGACTCAAAGGGAGTGAGCTACCAGAGCTTTGACCTCCCATCTCAAATGGACATCACCGAGTGTTTCACAGAGGGAGATGAGAAAGGAGAGCTGCTTCTTGACTTTCTCACCGAAGTGCTGGATTTTAGTAAAGTGGCTTCACCGGAGCTGAAAGCTGGTGTGTTGGAGCTGCTCCGGCATCCTGGCTGCAGCAAAGAGTCGGATGGCAAAGTTATCTTTAACAACAACCTTGGTGTTATTGTCATCAATAAACCAATTTAAAAGCCACCAGTCTTATAATCTTAGATGATAAAAATGTTCAAGCAAGATAAAATAACTTAGATATTTTGTTTTGATTTTAGTTTTGTATAACTTAATGATAGTTTTTATTAACTATAAAATTATAAATTGTAGTAAATGCATTTATTTTTTAATGATTCATTTGTATTATTCACAAAATAAAGATCATTCCAAGTGAGTTACATCTAAATACATTGTCTTCAGAGTTTTACTTGTCTATACTTTTAATGATTTCCTCTTGGCAGGCTCCTTCTTAAACCCCATTTTACTGCTGCTTTGACCAGAAGCTCTTATTTTATTACAACTAAGAAAATAGGGCAATTAACTTTTCATAGGGAATTATTTTAGATAAGTTTAAAGTAATTATTCAATATGCATTGAAAAGGCTAACAATATTATTTCAAGAAGGGCCTGGATGAGGAAAGTTAAACAGAATTGCCCAAAACAGTCTTGTCTTGATGTGTTGGGAAATATACTTGCAACATAGTCCAAAGGCAGAGTACAAAGTTCATTTTTGAAATAGACATTTTTTTTGTCGTTTTTAAGTAGTGTTTTTGTAACCATAGCATTACCATAAATTAAAGATTAGGTAATTAATTCAATGTATTTATTTTGCTGCCATATGAAGCTACAAAAGAAGCCAAAAGAAAGTGCTGAAAGTAAATTAGAAATTGGACAGAAGTGCAAACCTCTGGCACCATCTTGAGGACAGTATTAAGTACTGGAGGAAAAATAACAGCAGTCTGTCGCTATAAACTTCCAATCAGACTACTACTAGTACTAGGGACTAGTACTAGTGAAACACTGAATTAGGCCATAGGTAAACCTTAATCTGGGATGCTCCACCCACTTCTAAAGAAGCACATACAAGTATGTGAATAGTTTCATCTTAAATTAATCAAAAATATGTAATTTAAATGATTAGTGAGTCAGATACGTTACGGAGCTAACTGGCATTTTGCAGGTCAGCATAGAGCTGCTTCCATAGGACACCTGCTCTAGCTGTCTATAAGACCAATAGTTACAACACTAATACCCTTTCCCACTCACCAAAAAAAAAGTTTAAACCTTGGAACAATTGTCTTTTTGTGGTAGTGGGAACAGCTCACTGACCCGTTGACCCGGTTCAAACGACTCGGCAAGTGACCTGGATTAAAATCACCTTCAAACTGCTTGGCTCCGATTGGCATATAGTGGGAACAGCAGACCTGGGTCCACCTGCTAACTTACGTGATTGAGTGCAACTCTGCCCCAGGTAGCGTAATGTTTGATAAACATGGCGCAACCTTGGTAGAGGGGTTTGCAGAGACAAACGATCAAAAAAAAGCACACTGACTATGACCTGGCTCTCTTCCATGTTGCACTGCATTGTTTACTTTCCTGAGTTCTGCCTCACTCGTGGCATCATCAATATTAACGCAGCATGATGGTATCACTAGACACTCGGTCTGACAGGGGTCAGACCCAGCTTCTTTTTGCCACTGGGAAGGGAGCCACATGCCTATTGTCAATGGGTCAACCCCTCTTTGTAAAAAACCAATATTAGCCCTCTAATTTTAGTTGGAAATATGCTTAAGACATTAAGTTATTAGCTATTATGGGCAAAATTTGAAATTTGAAAGTTATGTTTATATTATTTTTTTTTACCATTATTGTTGCTGTAGAAAATATCAAACCAAGACAGTTTGGAGCTTTAAGATCACTCTATCTAATAAGTTTGTGCATTAATATGAACCTGGTAGTGACTCTGATGTTTCCTCTTTATTTTTCTCCTCCCCCCTTTGTAGAAGCTTCTGGTTTGATCACAGATATTAAGATGCTGCTTTCCTGGGCTACCTGAAGAGCTGGTTTTTACTTTTCTTGATAATATGATATGATAACAAAGAGGTTGAAGGGGCAAAGTCATGTATTATGAAGCCCATCGAGTCAGCAATACCCAGATAATATATATATATATATATATGTGTGTGTGTGTGTGTGTGTGTGTGTGTGTGTGTGTGTGTGTGTGTGTGTGTGTGGCTGGAATAGTATACAGAAACATCTGTGCAGAGTATGGGCTGGAAACCCCAAGGTCAAAGTAGGAAACACCTCCAAATACGGTAGAGAATGGCCAAGCCAACATCCTCTGGGACTTTCAGATACAGACAGACAGACAGACATTGTGGTGGTGGACAAAATACAGATAAAAAGCCATTGTGGTTTACATAGCGATACCAAGTAACTGCAACACCAGGCAAAAAGAACATGAGAAACTAGAGAAATACCAGCTGCTCAGAGAAGAGCTGGAGAAAACCTGGAAGCATCAGTGGGGCCCGTGGTCATTGGGGCCCTCAGGGCAGTGACCCCTAAACTTGGAGATGTCTGATGTATTTCCAGGAGATCCCTGGAAATACATCAGACATCTCAGTCCAGAAGAGTGCATTTCCAGGAACAGCAAAGATACTGCGAAGAACCCTCAAGCCCCCAGGCCTCTGGTAGAGGACCCGAGCATGGAGGAAAAAAGGGGAAGACCACCCGCAATGGGTGAGGAAGAGTATATATATATATATATATATATATATAAATTTTATGTGTGTGTGTATGGATATATATGTGTGTATATATATATACATGTATATATACAAATATATGTATGTATGTATATATATATATATATATATATATATATATATATATATATATATATATATATATATATATATATATATATATATATATATATATATATATATATGCTGAGAAGACAAGCGTAGGTAATATGTAATAGAATATAAACTTTTCTGTTAATATATTGTATATTCATTTTTTGTAAGTATGGTTCACATGAATTATCAGAATTCTGATTAATAAATTCCTATTCAGCTTAATCTATAATCAGAAATACAGTTATTAAATCTTTGCAGTCAATATTAAAACAAGAATGCAGGAATGCATTCCTTAGATAAATTAAAATCAAGGGACGTATACATTTTGTCATCTGAAGTTTAGGAAGCAAATGCCTGAGTTATGTCTGTAAACTAGCTGGTGGGACAGTCGCTGTTCTGTCAGAGCAGCATACCGTCACCATGGCAGCTTGAATCAATACACAGCGAGGAGAGGGAGCAGGTGCTGCACCTGTGCTTGTCCACCTGTCAACAGTGTATATGGCAGGCCATTTTGACATTTATTAACTTGACTGAATGTACGTTCCAGATGTCTCCAACGCATTTTTTCCTAGTCAAAATAAACATGTCGGATATCTAAAATAACGTTCTTCCTATCTAAAATATAGCTACATCCCAGATATCTGAAATGTAATTCTTACAAGTACAAACGACGTTACGTTTCCCATTCATGTGTATTGGGCTTTTACTTCCAGATATATAAAATAATCACTTTTTGGCAGCTTGAAATGTTTTTTTTGCTAGCAAAAATGTATTTTATGATAACTATATATACATTTCTGACTAGTAGGAATATCTTTTAGACTAGGAACAATCTTATTTTAAAGATCAACAAATGGAGCTATAGAGGACAGCACTTCTAATAAATGTCAAAACAGCCTGCCGCAGTCACTGTCTCCATTTAGATCCACAGTTACATAATGACCACTCCTCCTGGGAGGGAACTGTCTGAAAGTGAAGGCAACCATTCTGCAGTTTGCTCTTTTCCTGCAACTCTCGTTCCAGGAAGCTGAGCAGCGTAGAAACTGCGTGATCCTTTCCTGCCTTCCCCAAAAAACTCAAATTCAAGGTATTTAAAGTTGATACCAATAGTTGTATATATACATTTTTTTCTTTATGATTTATTTATTTATTTATTTATTTTTTCAGTGCAAACATGAGTGAGGAAGCAAAGCAGACTTGTTATGAGGGCTGCAATGTCAACTCTTTCCAGTTTTACCTGCAAAAGTCTGGCGAGCACGAAGCCATTGTCAAATGTCTTCAAAACATCCTGCCTGCAGAATTTCAAAGGTGCAAAGAAAAAGCTTATAGTCATACATCTCGTCCTCAGGAATGGTTGGTCATGCCCATTTTAACACAATGCTCCATTGTTATATGAAAAACCAAAAGGTTTCAATAAACCATTTCTTTTTCTAAAAGAGGTTTGTGTATTTTAGTTTTTAATATTATTATTCAAGGAAATTTTGAATGTTATAGTTAAATTATTTCTAAATTGGCCTGTTATATTACTTCAAAAGCTTTCTTAATAAAGCCAGATGATCATTGCTCTTAGTTTTTTCAGGATCCATAAACGTTGGAAACTTTTTAGTGAAATTTGAGATCCAAGGTGCCATTTGCAGTTTTTAACAATCGAACAGACATATTATTTCCTACAATAGAGAAAAATAATTTCAACAAGTTTTGATGTTGTCAACATGTATGTGTCAAACTATACTGTATGCATCTCCATAGCTTATATTTTGTTTTCAATGAACAACAAAAAAAAGGCATACAGACGTAAGATCGTGGTTAGTTTACTTATTTAAAAAAAGTCCATTTTTCAAAGAAGAATTTTTTTACCTGCCATTACTGATGGAACTCTATTAAAGTAATAACTGGTTTAATGATTTCTAGCTAACTGATTACCCCATTATTTGAACTTTTTTTTCCTCTTCTTTAACCAGTTTTTATGTTTTTCAGAATTGGAGCTGGTAAAAGCAACCTGGATGTGCTTGGAGTCGGGAGTGGGGGTGGTATGTGATGTTATATAACAGATTTAAACTATAAATTGCCTAATTTTCAAAAAAAGGTTTAATGATTGACAACCTGCAAGGTGCAATAAAGAAAATGCATGGAAACCGTGCAACTGTTGCGCCCATTTACAGAGCAATATCGACCAACGGTTAATCCATAAGGTTATAAAGCAATGGTCGTCCATGTGAGGTATAAGAGATTACACTAACATTTTTTAATCTAATAATAGGAACCAACTCATTTGAATGAAAATTAGGACAAAGAGAAAGTGCTTTATACGTCCCTATTTTTCTGGATCCCCTACTTTCAGAA